TGGCAGGGGCTGCCCCAGGCTGGGTGGGTGGGTGTGGGGAGGGTTGCATGGGAGGGGTGTATCCCCCTCTCCTCAGGGGTCTGTTCAAGGGAGCCAGACCCTAGACCCACTAGGGGCCTCAGCTGGTCCTACTCACCCTTGCTTTGCTTGACCTCAGCCTGCCTCCCCTTGTTCCCCGGGCAGACTGTGAGGGAGCCCCCCTCTACATTCTCACACTCTCCCCAAGAGCCTGCCCAAGGCCTCTCTTCTCGGGCCCTGCTTTGCTCCTCTGTCCAGCAGGCATCACCCTGTGGCCTGTGAGGCAGAATCAAATGTCAGGGAAGGACTAGGTTGGAGGGGACCCGACCCTATCTGGGGGCCAGGGGACCCTCATTGCAGGACCCGGTCCTCAGTTCCCCGGCTCTGTACAAAGAGGAGATGGACATGTCAGTTTCTGAAGGCCGATCTATTGGGAGATATTTTTGGCTTGATGGGTTTTATTTTTTACCACTAAAAAAATTGTTAGGGCTTCCCTGGTGGCACAGTGGTTGAGAGTTCGCCTGCCGATGCAGGGGACACAGGTTCGTGCCCTGGTCTGGGAAGATCCCACATGCCGCGGAGCGGCTGGGCCCGTGAGCCATGGCCGCTGAGCCTGCACATCTGGAGCCTGTGCTCCACAACGGGAGAGGCCACGACAGTGAGAGGCCCACGTACTGCAAAAAAATAATAATAAAAATTAAAAAAAATTGTTATCCAACAAGTTATATGTGATTGTTGTAGAAAATGCATTTTTGTTCCTGATAGTGCCCATCAGGCCATGCATCCCACCTGCCCCCTTTACTGGAACACACTCACGCACGCACACGTGGATGTGTAATGTGCATACTTGTCCTCCACGCCCCAGGAGCTTCAACTGGCACAGTCACTCTGGTCACCTCGAGGTCGGCCTTGCCCACTGCCCCCGACTGGTTGGGAGAAGGTTTCCGCTGCCCTGGCGGAAGCGGGCCGCCTGTTCTGGTCCGGCCCAGCCCTGCCTTTCCATACCTCTGGGCTGTTGGTCTAGGGCAGGGTGGGGAGCAGGGCCAGCAAGCCCTCATCTCCTGGGGCTGGGATGCAGCCAGACCTTCCCCAGGTTTTAAGAACTGGAGTCTGTCCCAAACAGCTGGGTCAGGAGAAAAAGTAGCAGTTCAGGGGTCTGTACCACCCTCTTTGTACAGTAGCGGGGGGGTCCCCAAGGTCAGACCTAGGACCAGCCTGGAGGGGGTTGGGTGGTAAGCACAGGGGACCTGTCTCCTGGTGCCCTCACCCCTCTTCTTGTTTACTTTGTCCTCATGGGTGTGTTTGTGTGTATTGCTCCCTGCACATTTATCTATCTCTGCCTCTGCCCCCTCTTGCCCTCCATCTCCTCTTCCTGACGTGGCATACCAGAAGAATGTGGGCTGCAACGTCAGGCAGGCCTGGATTCAGATCCTCCTTCTACCACTTACTGGCTCTGTGATCTTGGGCAAGTCACTTAGCCTCTCTGAGCCTGTTTCTTCATCAGTAAAATACCCACTTCTGGGACCTGCACAGGGATAAAGTGAGCTAATGCCATTACAAGGATGGTCTGGTGTATGTTGGCCTCAGAGAAGGATGATCTTTCTTATAAGTGAGGGTACTGATTCACACCCAGGCCCTTTGACTCCCAAGTCCGGAGCTCTCTGCTTCACAGGGCTGCCTCTGCTGTGGGCTAGAGAAGCAGGAGAGTAGAGACTCGGAGCCCACAGGCAGTTGGGAAAGGCCTGGCTGGCCTCAGCTGGCTCCAAGGAGCTGGTCCCCATGGAGGCCTGTGTGGAGTCCAACCCCTGCCACCTCTGTGGCCCTGCAGAGTGGGGATGAGGTTGAGCCAATGGCCTTCCTTTGGGGCCTGTGGGCCTGAGCCAATTTGCATGGGGGCTATAAATAGTTGGCCCACCTTGCTTTTGTGCTGTCACTTTACCCCCTGGCCTTCCCACCAGTGTTCAGATGGTCTGCAAGGTATGTGGACAACTCTGGCTCTGCTGTGCAGGGGGGGTCCTGGTGTGCAGGGGCCCAAGACCTCTTTCAGGGTCACATGGCCATCAGTGGAAGAAGATGCCAGCTCGTGGTGCCTGTCTTCCTCTGGGGGTCCAGGCGGTGCAGTTGAGGTGGAGGAGGTGATAGAACCTGGCCGGGGCCCGTGCTCTAGTTTTAGTCCTAAGTAGTTGGGGCTAGGTGACCTAACCCTAGGGTTACTGCCAAGTAGCCCCAGGGCAGCCCGTGGGTCCTCTCTCTCACGGTGCTGCGGCCTGGCTGTGCAGGTTTGGGGCCAGGACTGGGGCCTGCTGTGGGTGTGGTTTTCCCTCTGGTGGCTTCTAACTGACTGCGAACAGCAACTGCTCCGAGTGTGCTGCAGAGCTGGAGGGCAGGCTGATGATCCTGTCTCTGCCTCACAGTCCTGGGTGGTCCATGGATGGCTCCTGCTGGGTGACCCGGAGCCCATGGGCCACCTGGACTGGGCCCCGAGGGGAGGTGGGGGAAGGGCCAAGGAGGAGCTGGCCAGTAGGTGTTGGGCCCACCTGCTACTCCAGGATGAGCAGCTCTGTTCCTGGAGACTTGGTTTCCCCGAGAGGTAGAGTCACTTATCAGGACTGTCTTCCCAGGCTCCGGGGGGTGGCGTGGAGTGGATGTGGTGGGGGTGTGAGCGTACTTTGCAAGTGGTGAAGGAAGGTGCACAGATGAAAGAGGGGTGCTATTAGCAAGAAGGGGTTGTAGTGGTAAGAGGCCTCCACCCTGAGGCTGTGGGGTTGGTGTTGGCTCTCGTCCTATACAAATTCTCATCATCGTGACAACCCTGCAGTGAGGGGACTGTTCCTCATCTGTAGGATGGGGATGACTGAGACTCAGGCCAAGTGACCCACAGAGTCCCGCAGCCAAGGCAGTGTGGGTGATAGGATCTTATACCCAGGCAGCTTGACCATGATTTTGCCACCCAGGGCTGCCCTGACCCCCTCTCCCATACGAGCCCAGCCCCCTGCAGCACAACTGCTCCTCCTTTGTCCCTGCCCACCTGTCCCCTCATCCTCTGAGACACTCAGGAAGTTCATCACAGCCCCACCTGGGTCTCGAGGTTATCCTATTGGGAAGCATGAGGCTGAGCCATGTCTGCCGGGGGTCAGGCCCTGGAACGCAGATGCAGACACATGGCAAGTGTGTGCTGTGCAGGGGCCCTGCTGATCATTCTGGACCCCCAGACCACACAGGGTGGCAGGAGGGGCACGATGTCCTTTTGCCGAGAAGTTTGAGATACTCACCCAGGCTCCTACGCACGCTCCCAGCCAGGCCCATGCAGCTCGCTCTCCACTTCACCATTGGCTGAGTGCACACTCCTGCCACCCACTCACACGTCCTTGCAGGCACACACATCTCCATGGCTGTGCAGTCACACCCACACATACCGCCCCCCTCCCCCCAACACCAGCTTGCACACTCATGCCTGCTTGGGCCCCGGGAGGAAGCAGCAGCCGCCCACAGCTGGCTTTCCCTCCCTGCCTGCTGAGGGGTCACTGTGGCTGGCCTGTCTGGTCTCAGACGTGAGCTCACACACCCACTCTCGCTCCCTCTGAGTAGGAGCCTGGCCCGGGCAGGGGACGTGGTGGAGTCTGCCCCGCATGGTCCCTCCCCTCTACTCTGGCTGCAGGCTTCAGAGGACTGGCCGGGCCATTGGGCTGGGCTGTAGGCTGAGGTCAAGTGTTTCCTGTGAGCTCATCTGGGCTTGGAGCTGCCAGCAGGCCTGGCTGGTACTCTGCGGCCATGTGGAGGAGCTGGGGGAGCTGTCCCAGGGCCAGGGTGGCTGTTGCCTGTGCACACAGGCCCGTGTGTGGGTAGGGGTGCATGTCTCAGTCTGCCTCCATGCCAGCTTATGTTCAGGATGGAGCAAATACGTATATACAGGGATGAATGTTAGTGAGCGTTCCTGCAGCCTCGGCTGTGGAGCTCCCTCCTGTGGGGCCTAGGCCCGGAGCCAGTGTCTGTGCAGGTGTACGAGTGTACACCTGCGGGCTTGCACAGCTGAGCATCCTCCATGAGGACAAGCCGAAAGACCTTCAGGGCCACCCGTAGTGATCCTCGATTTGAGGAACTGTGAGGAATGGGGGCGTGTGGGGCCGACCTGTGTGGTGTAAGAAGCAAAGTCAGCGTTACATTCGACATTAAAGTAGTTTTATAGTTGGAAAAACTTAGCCTGAAAGTGCGGACAAACTTCGAGGTAGGCGAGAGCGCCTGACCCCAAGGGGCTCAGGTTCAGAAGTGTCAAGCACGCTGATGTGGGTGGGGCCTTTCACTACCCTGGTCCCAGACAAAGTGGGTGCTTAATTAGTGGAATCCAGCTTTGGGTTCTGGTTCAACCTCAGGACTTCAGTTTCCCATCTGAAAAGTGGGGGCAATCACCTTGGCCCTGCTACTTGTCTGCCTGGGTAGTTATGAGCAAAAACCAAACTTTGAAAACCAAGGAGGGCTGCATGGGGCAGGGCACAGGGAGGCAGGGGTGCTGTCCTGCCCATCTTGGCTGGCACCAAGGTGCTATGGCCAGCACATACTAGGTAACAGCCATTGGGTATTAAAGGAGGCATTGAATGACTGACTCCCCAAATGAATGACATGGGAGTCACAGGCTCACACGCCTCCAGGGCCTAGATAGGATTCGGAGAGAAGTGGAAGGAGGCCTCTGAACTGGAGTCAACCGGCAGGGGTGCCCAACAAAGGGGGCAGTGCCAGCCAGATATTGCCCAGTAGGCCTGATGTCGCACCTTCCAATTTCACCAGGGAGGCCACCAATCTAGTCTTACATAAAACTTCTCAATTTTAACGGTGGCAACTGGGACTAGTGCATTTTAAGCACCATGTGGGCCAAATTCAATGCTGTGGGAGCCCTGGGGGGGAGTGGATACCTGACCACCTCCCAGGGCTGTCCCTGCTGCCCGCCTCACACCTTCTGTCTCCACAGCCCTGCTGCAAGCCCCAGCATGGCACCGTTCCTGCGCATCTCCTTCAACTCCTACGAGCTGGGCTCCCTGCAGGCCGCAGACGAGGCAAGCCAGCCCTTCTGTGCTGTGAGGATGAAGGAGGCACTCAGCACAGGTAGGGCTGTAGGCTGGACCCTACCTGTGCTGCAGGCAATGGCAGCAGCTGGTGGGGCGGGGAAGCCAGGGCCAGGAGGAGGCAATGGAAGGGACTGTGCCTTGTTCTCCTAGAGCCTCTGAGGGATCCTTCTCTTCCTTGTCCTCGTCTCCCTGCCCAGCTCAGCTTGCGATGCAGGACAACAGAGGCGACTCACTGCCTGTAGGACCACCTGCACTGGCTACATAGAACCTTCTGTGGAGCTCAGGCCTTCTGGCTCCTCCCCCACTGGTTGTTTCACCCAAGAACAGGCTCCCTCCAGGAGCTCCACATGTCCATCTGTGCCAGGCCCTGTGCTGGGTACTGAGAACACTGCCATGCTCCAGGGCTGATGAGGCCCTGCCCTCATGGGGCTCACAGTCTGGTGGAGGAGGCAGACAGTGATCCTGTGATAGGGAAGTCCAGATAAGGAACCATCCCAGGCTGCAGTCAGGGAGGTCATCCTGGAAGAAGCAAACATCTCACACCATTCCTTCTTGCTTCTACCCTCACCTGGTGAACCCCTGGCTCATCCCTTAGGTCTCAGCTGAGCTGTCCCTTCCTCTAGGAAGCCTTCCCTGACCCTTAGGTTGGGACAGGCCACCTGACCATGGGCGGGTCTAGAACCAGTGACCTTGCCCTCTTCAGTCTCATGACAGCTGTGATTTAATGTTCACTTGAGGGGTGAACTGATGCATGTCTCTGCCCAGGACTGGGACTCTAGGAGGACAGGTACCGTGTTCCTTGCCTCCAACACCATGGCTGGCCTGTGGGAGCCTGTGGCAGTGTCACTGAGTAAATGTCTAAGGGAAGGTGACATCTAAGAGGGGCTGGAGGAAGCGGGTCACAGGAAGAAGGGACAGCGGCAGCAAAGGCCCGGGGTGGAACCTAGCGGGGCACCCTGGGGAAACTGCCGGCGTTTCTGTGCTCTCATGCGGATTGTGAGTGAGATGGGGCTGGTGAGGCGAGCAGAGCATGGTCATGAGGGCTGAGGAGTGGAGACTTGGGCCCTGGGGGAGAGAGCTGGCAGATTCCATAGGATGGAAGGCTGTGGGAAGGCCCGGGATTTGAGGCACAGAGGTTCCCTAGCCTGACCTTGCCTTCCTGGCGCGTTGCAGAGCGTGGGAAGACGCTGGTGCAGAGGAAGCCCACCATGTACCCCGAGTGGAAGTCCTCGTTCGATGCCCACATCTACGAAGGTCGCGTCATCCAGATCGTGCTGATGCGAGCCGCGGAGGAGCCAGTGTCCGAGGTGACAGTGGGTGTGTCGGTGCTGGCCGAGCGCTGCAAGAAGAACAATGGCAAGGCCGAGTTCTGGGTGAGGGGCACAGCCACAGTCACGCATGTGTGTGGGCAAAGTGAGCGGGTACGGCCGAGGGCACCCAGCCGCTCCGGCCACTGGGGCAGCTCTGTAGCCGACAGCTTGTGTTCAAATCCCGGTCCTGCGATTCATCAGACCCTTCGCCTCTCTGAGTCTGCCTCTGAATCTGTAAAAGGAGAAACTACTAAAAGACCTACGGTGGGGTCAGTTCTGATGAAATGAGCAGCTGGATGCAAAGGGCTTACTGCAGAACCTGGCACGTAGGCGGTGCTAAAGAGAGCCCTCCTTGGTATTACAGCTGCTTTTTTCCCATTTAATTTTGCAAAGGCAGGATGTGCACATAGTAAAACATATCAAGCTGTATGAAAGGGTGGGTCCTAGCCCCAACACCAGGTCCCCCTTCTCAGAGAACCCCATTATTCCCAGTTCTTTTTGGAATCTTCACAGGTATTCCAAACCCAGGCAGGCATCGGGGAACACCAGTTATGATCTTCCACAGCAGGGGGGGTCGGGGAGGAGAAGGCTCATGGGCTGCCACTCACCTGCTGAAACCTGGACTCTGCGTGCACACGTGGCCATATGTCCCTTGTGGCCACAGGATGTCAGCGCTGGCAGGGCATCCCTGCCCCCTGGGGTTACATGTGGGCTCCTGCAGCCGAGATGTCCCCTCCAGGAAAGACCTGTGACCATGGAGACTCTACTCAGCCTCCAGTGAGGGGTGAAGGAACTGGGCCTAGAGAGGTTGACCCAGGGCTGCACCCACCCTTGAAGAATCAGGCAGAGGCTCCTGTTGTGCTCTCTGTCCACTACCCCGAGGGACACTGTCAGTCACCAGGCCCTGGGGGAGCTGAGGGGTCTCGCCCTTAGGACGAGCCAGTCTGTGTGAGGAGACTGGACAGACAGAGCCCCCGACAGAGAGAGAGAGAGAGAGAGAGGGAGAGAGAGAGAGGGAGAGAGAGAGAGAGAGAGAGAGAGAGAGAGAGAGAGAACCAGCACGCTGTGTCAATATGCGTGTGTCTGTGTGTCTGCATGTGTGGGGGGATGCGGTGCCTCCATTCTAAGATCCTTGTGAAGCAGGCAGCCAGGGTTGGGGGCAGGGAGTTTCCCTTCCCACTCTGTTCCCGGGGCCATGTGGCCAAGCTGGGTGTGGGCTGGATCCTTTTACTTCCCCAAATGTAATAATACTCCTGGGTGAGGGCTGGGGGGCGGGGCTCAGGGGTGGGGCCCTGCCCACTCTGGGCAGACAGGTGTCTGGCTAGGCTGCCTGGACTCCCTGGCCCTTCAGGGACCAACCATGGGGGCGGGTTCTGAGTCTGACTTGGCCCAGGCCCGCCCTCACTGACTCCCCCACTCTCACTCCTGCAGCTGGACCTGCAACCCCAGGCCAAGGTGTTGATGTCTGTGCAGTATTTCCTGGAAGACATAGGTAAGCCCCTCCCTACCTGGGCTGGGGACGGAGGTTCAGAGGCCAGAGCCAGAACGGAGGTTTAGGGAAGCAGCCTCCAATGGCGCTCTGTCCAGGACTGCCCTGGGAGGGACTGAAGGGGTGTGGCCCCTCCCGTGGGTTGGGGCTGACTTCACTCCTACCCGGCCCCCAGATTGCAAGCAGTCAATGCGGGGTGAAGACGGGGCCAAGTTTCCAACGATGAACCGCCGTGGAGCCATCAAACAGGCCAAAATTCACTACATCAAGAACCACGAGTTTATCGCCACCTTCTTTGGACAGCCTACTTTCTGCTCTGTGTGCAGAGACTTTGTTTGGTGAGACTGGCTGTGTCCCCTGGGGTGGGGTGGGTGAGGGAGGGCCCCCATCCCCGGTACTTCCCCTCACTCACCCTGCCTGGGCACTTGCCTTTCAGGGGTCTCAACAAGCAAGGCTACAAGTGCAGGCGTAAGTGTCTCCACAGCCCAGTCTGTATGCACATGTGTGTGCACGCATGTGCCTGCGTGCCTTCACAGAGAAGCCTGTGTCCCTGTGTTGGGACGGTGTGCCTGGATGAAGCCTCTGCTTGAGTGTGTGCACGTGAGGCTTTCCATGTGGTAGTGTGTGTGTGGACGGCGGCTGCATCAGTGAGTGCTGGAGCTGGCGTGTCTCTTCCCAGTGCTTCCCGTTCAGTGACATCACGTTGGCGGCCTGAAATAGGCCCCAGTGGAGTATGTACACAGAATCTGCCAGTGCTGCACTTCGGGGCTCTTTCCCCCTAGAGAGGCTATTAGACCTTTGCCAGCACATCCCTGGCTGCATGTGTGCTTCTGTTGAGAGCTGTGTGCATCTGGTACACACGTATGAGCACACCCTTCTCTACGGCCGTCGGTGCATGCATGAGGTAGTGTGGACCGGTGGTGGTGAGCACAGGCTCTGGAGCCAGCCTGCCTGGGTCTGAATCCCAGCTCTACCACTTCCTAGCTGTAGGACCTTAGACAAAGTTACTTAACTTCTCTGTGCCTCAATTTCCTCATCTGTAAAATAGGGACAATAGAGTCATTGTGAAGATCAAATGGGATAAAATATGTAAAGCTGTATTTTAAGTGTGGCTGGTGCCCGGTAAGCATTCTATGTAAGAAGGTTTGTCATTATACATGCTGTGTACGTGTACCTGAGTGCCTTTGTGTTGGGGTGCATCTGTCAGTGTGTGTGTGTGTGTGTGTGTGTGTGTGTGTGTGTGTGTGTGTGTGTTTGTGTGGCGGGGGGTGGGGGGTGAGAGAGCTTAAGAGCTGTTTGCTATCCTGAGCCACAAAGAGGGCTCCCCTGCCTCTAGTTCTCTCACTGCCATGCCCCCTCCCTGCCCACCGGGACTCCTTGAGCCTTTCCTAACCTCCAAGACCCCCCAGATCGACCTGTCCTCCCCGCCCCATCCTTCCCAGACTCCTCCCACAGGGACTGACCGGAGGAGAGAAAAATCAAGCTCTAGGCCGAGGGCTCCATGTGGTGAGGGTGTGGGCGGTCGGGGAGCACGGGGACTTTGTGTGGAAGGCAGGACTGGGCCAGGGGGCGCCAGCTCACAGACTCTGCCCCTCCGGGGCCTTCCCGTCCCCCTCCTGGGCCTGGGCCTCCTCAAGAGTGCAACGCTGCCATCCACAAGAAATGCATCGACAAGATCATTGGCCGGTGTACGGGCACTGCAGCCAACAGCCGGGACACCATAGTGAGGCCGGGCCCAGGGCAGGGCGGGAGGGATTCGAGCTCTCCCCACCCCTCCCTGTGGGGTCACCCTTCCTCCTCGTTTTCCTTCTTCCTTCCCCTGGCTTGGCCCCTGGGATCCCTGGATTTCCCAGTCCTCGCAGAGCCCTCTTGGGGATCTTGCCACGCATGGGGTTGGGTCAGGGAGAGTTAGGGGGTGAGGAAGGGGCTGGAGCTGGCATGTGACCCTTGACCTGTGACACCCTGCACCCCTAGTTCCAGAAAGAACGTTTCAACATTGACATGCCACACCGGTTCAAGGTTTATAACTACATGAGCCCCACGTTCTGCGACCACTGCGGCAGCCTGCTCTGGGGGCTGGTGAAGCAGGGATTAAAGTGTGAAGGTGCGTGCCGGCTAGGGCGGGGGCTGCGGCGGAAGTGGGAGGGTGGCCAACCCGGACCCCGGAAGCTGAGACCAGCTGAGGCTGCCTTTGCCCCCTAGCTCGGGGACTCTCACGTGGGTGAGGCCTCCTGGCCCCTCCCCACTGGCCCGACTGACTCTGCCATTTACTGCTGTGTGACCATCAGAAGGTGGCCCCACTGCTGAGAGCTTCGCGTTCTCAAGTATAAAACAGGCGTTAGAGTCAAGTCGGCCCCAGAGAGTCACCGAAGGGAAAGCAGGCGGAAGGTGCTCCCTGGCCAGGGCCCGTCTCACACCAGCTCAGCTCGTGCTTCTTGCAGGCCCTCCCTCACCTCAGGCTTCACTGAAACGAGAGACGTCTGGAGGAAAAGTGACTTGTCTAGCTTGTCCCAGACATTTGTTTTTTCTTTTTCTTCTTTAAATAATGAAAGATTTGAGGTGCTCGTGATGGCTTCAGATACATCTTTTTCTAAAGGCAGGAAACCCAGCAGACCCTGCCAAAATCCCTCCTCTCTCCTGCTCTCTCCTCCATCCTTCCCTGCCCTTGGCTGGGCCTGGGACAAGGGGACAGTTTTCTTGGAGCCTGCTGGCTGCCTGCCTGGGCGGGGGCCCTGATGGCTCTGCTTTTCTCCCACCCCAGATTGTGGCATGAACGTGCACCATAAGTGCCAGATGAAGGTGGCCAACCTCTGTGGCATCAACCAGAAGCTCCTGGCCGAGGCCTTGAACCAAGTCACCCAGGTGGGCAGGCACTGTGGAACCCTGGATAGAGGGTAGCAGGGTTGGGGGCGAGTCAGGGCTCATGCCCACTTCTGGGGAACTTCAGTGAGGGGCGTTTATACATAAGACCCTACTTCTGGAAGATCCAGTTCGAGGATTGGACATTAGAGGGTGGTGGGCTAGTTCTCCTAAGAAATTGGTTATTCAAGCAGCGCTTTTCCTGAGGGTGAACCTGGATGACTGCAAGGTTGAAACACTTGGAACTAAAGCCTTTATGAGTATATGGTTTGTTTGTTTTTTCTAAAAGAGAGTTTAGGGCTTCCTTGGTGGCGCAGTGGTTGAGAGTCCGCTTGCCGATGCAGGGGACACGGATTCGTGCCCCGGCCCGGGAAGATCCCACATGCTGCGGAGCGGCTGGGCCCGTGAGCCATGGCCGCTGAGCCTGCGTGTCCGGAGCCTGTGCTCCGCAACGGGAGAGGCCACAACAGTGAGAGGCCCACACAACACCAAA